ATATATATATATATCATCCTAGAATTTTAATCTGTGGACACATTAATTTTGTAAAAATTAGGTATGTGTATGCTCATGAGCATATGTCTATAATGCTGCAATTAATCTAACAGCAAAAATCTGGAAACAGTTTGAATATTAATAGAGAAATAGTTAATGTGATACATATCCATGGGATAGATTATTATCCAGCCACTAAAAATTTTTCAGAGCATTTTTAGCATTTTCCCGCAGGGGAAAGGTTCCTGAAATGCTGGTGCTGAGAACAACTGTTACTTACCACCAGATACATACTACTGTAAGCACCCTGCAAGTCTTACCTTGTTTAATCATTAGTACAGCTCTGCTGTAGGTGCTTTTATTTCCCCTACATTACAAGGAAATCGAGTAAGTCATTTGCTCAAGACCTCACAGCTTACATGTTGGGAAGACAAGATTGAAACCAGCTAAAGCCAATGTTCCCAAGATACAATTATGCCAATTGTGTAAAAAAGTATAGAAACACCTGGAAACAACTTAAATATAGGCACTTCTTTTACAATATGAGTTTTCATAACCCCAACTTGATAGAACATGACCAGTTTGCTCACAGAGTTTTTTGCATGACAGTTTATAGAAAAAAATTATTTTGCATGTATTATGGCTGCTTTGAGTAGCTTTTGTTTTGCTTCTCAGAAAAAATTAATTGTTAACGTTCCGGGGGCTTGTGTGTATACTCTGGGCTGTATGGTGGGAGAGTGTTTTTTGTTTAGTTTTATAAAAGCCATTACTATTAAAATTATTTTCTCTATTGTGAGTATATTTCCTTGATCCTTTTCCCACTGAAACGAGTACTTCTAAAATGGAGTTTGTAATAACATGAGGTTTCTGGGCCAGGGATTTAGCTCAGTGGTTTCGATGCCTGCTGAGCAAGCGCAAGGACCCGAGATCGATCCCTGGTACCAAAAAAACCATGAGGTTTCTTAGGAACACAGGATCTAATTATAGCAGAACTCTGTACATCAAAATATTTGGATAAAAAAGATCCTAGATTTAAAAAAAAATCCTAGATTATATGTAGCTTTTGTTTCTTAATATTTTTCTGTATCTTTCAATTTTACTTTATGTTATACTTTAAAAACATTTAATGTGAGCTAAATTAAACCTTTCTTCTTTAAAAAAAACATTTAATATCGGGATCTAGAGACATTAACAAGACATTAAATTGTGGGGCAAATAAAGTGATTAGAGGTTATTTGGTCCACTTTCCTCAATTTGCAGAGGAAGAAAGCAGCTGGGAAAGGCCAAATGATTCAGCAAAGACATTTCTGTCCCTTGACCCAATACTCTCTCTACCACACCATCCACCTTCACACCTGCACATATGAGTTCCAAGTGCAGAACAGGAGCTTAATTAGTGTCTTTTAGGACTTGGCCTTTTTGTCACTTTGCATAGGTCTTCCTGGCTACCACGCCTGTTACTTTATTATCTTCCACATGATACCTGCAGCAAAGTATCACTGTGATATAGTTGGCTGTGGTGTCCTGGCTGTTCAATGAAATCATCTGGAGAGCTTAAAACTAAAACAAAAATCCACTATGCATGGGGCCCAGCCTAGATCAAGTCAATCAGAATCTCTGTGGTGGAGCCCAGGGGTCAGAATGTTATAAAAGTTCTCCATTTGATTATAAAGTGCAGCCAGGGCTGAGAACCACTTAGCTAGAGATATACAGAGCATGAAGGAGGAGAAACTGATACTAAAGTCCAATACCTTGGGTCAACACCCCAGTAACTAAAAAAAAAAATGATAATAAAGCATGTGAATAGCACAACTTTTTGCAAAGTGAAAACACTGGTTATTTTTAAGAACAGAAGTTTGATTTGCAAGCCACTCAGAATAACAGCTCTACAGCCTCCACCTCCTCACCTCCCATTTGCTCCATGGCACCTGTGACTTCCCCCTTACTGCTCCACAAAGCTCTCCTTGTCAGTCAGAGGCCTCCTTTGTATTCAGGGCACCTCTCAGGCCTCACCCTCTGAGGACTCCATAGCACCACAAGTGCTGACTACCTCCTACTTCCAGAGACCCTCACTCCCCTTATACTCTCCTTCCTTCTTGGCTCTTCTACTGGCTCCACCAAGTAGCTTTAGACACTGCCTTATATGCTGGTGTACCCATCAGCATATGTACTGATGGGCCCTCCTGTACCTGCACAGCCTTTCTGGACAGTGCCATCCATGCCCTGTGAGCTACACCCACATGCTACACACTCTGTTCTCTTTTCTGAGACAAGCTCTTAAATACACAAAGCTTCACTCTCCCCTCCCACCTCCAAAGCTATTCCTCCTCCATTCTGTACGGTGAAACAGCATTACCATGTTGATACATCTTGACATCCAAACTATATCCCTGGGCGCAGCTCTGCTTGCCATTGATCTGTTCTCTGACCCTGCCATTACCCGTGAAGTGTTTCCTGAATCAATTCCTTTTTCTAGCCACACAATCTCTGCCTCCACTCCCTATTCTTTGTCATAAATACTGCCTACAAACTAGCTCTTTGCAATCTATTCCACTCCCACTGGAACTATCTTTCTAAATCTAACCATTCTTGTCATTGCTTAATTTTTTTTTTTTTTGGTACCAGGGTCTGAACTCAGAACCTTGTGCCTGCCAGGCAGGTGAGGCACCACTGAGCTAAATCCCTGGTCCAACAATTTTTTTTAATTAGACATACACAATGATCACATTCATCATAGGGAATGATGTATCTTGATTCCTCTTTTCCCATCCCCCTCCTCTCCCTTCAACCCCTCTTCTCTTCCTCATTTACAAAAGCCTTATTTCCATTTTCTCCTTTCTTTCTTTCTTCCTTTCCTTCTCCCTCTCTTTAGTTCCCCCTTCCTTTTGAATAATTTTTTATTTCACATTGCCTATTACACATAGGGACCATCCCTTACTAACTTTCATGCCATCCCAATGTCTTCAATAACACAGGCCTCTCTACAGCCTGGCCCCACCAAGCTCTCCAACACCCTGCTTGTCCCTTTCAAGACACCACCTACCACAGCCAAAACTAACACTCTCTAACATGGACACTCACCACTCCTCATTCAGTTAATACTTGTGGTTAACCCTCACATGTGCACTTTGCATATATTATCTAATTCAACCCTCACAATCACCTTATAATAGAAAGCGGCACTATTTATTTCCCGTAATGATGAGAATACCACATAGACAGATAAAGAAATTTGGCCAAAGTCATACTCTGTATGGAACCAGGATTCAAATCCCAGTGATCTCCGGTTCCCAAGTCTGTGTTTATAATTACAATACTATATGCCTTACCCACTCTATGCCAGGCATTTCAGACTTCCAGAAGTGAGTAATCAAGTAGTAGAAAGGTAGGAGGAAGTAAACAATCACATTCCCTATGAATGTACAGGCATGGAGAGGCACAGAGAAAGCTCTCCTAAGAGGGACACCTAACCCACTACCAGGGAGAGGTATCATGGTGGACAGAGAAGAACACATAAACTGAAGCCTAAAGAAGCTGGAGTTAACCAGAGGAAAGGGGAGAAGCATGCAGGAATGAGAACACTTCAAGTAGGGAAAACAGCACAAGCAAAGAAGGAGAATCAAGAAAGAGAATGCAGGCTCGCTCATGGCAAACAGTTCAGTGTCGCTGCAGTAGTGCACAAAAAGCCCACCAACCTGTTGTTGACGGGCACCAATGCCCTCGGGGTAGAGGTGCCTATGGGAGTGCAGATAGCCAATGGCCATCCGGAGGTTCTTCACTGTGATCACAGAGCCATAAGCCAGATCTGGAAGGAAGGGAGAGAGCAGACAAATAAGTGACATTGTGCTAGAGCTGCCCCTGCTTGGGAGGGACCGTCAAAGCCACAGGACCCAGGAACCCTCTACAGGACTCCATTGGCCACAGGACTGTTTAAAGCAGGAGATGCCTGCTCACTCCAATGGGACCAACTCAAGAGAGAACTCCTCACCAGGTCTCGCCTGCAGCATCTCCTCCTGTCCCAGTCCCTCCTGAGGACTTCAGAAAAAGCTGCATGTTGACACTGTTATTATCAAAGCATATTTGTAACAGCAAAAGATTAGAAACAGCCTGTCCTTCAGTTAAGGTCTGTCCATGTATTCACTGGAAAGCATTTTGTACTTTGCCCAGACTGTTCTCTATGATATAATAATATAATGAACTGTTAAAATAGACTTTTCACTCTGTATTCCTTTGTGCCTTTTGAATTTAGTACTATATGAAATAACTGCTTTAAGATGTTTAAGATTTTTTTTTCTTTTTACTGTGAATTAAATAAAAACATATACGGGTAAACCACTTCTCCAAGAGCATCCTTTCCTCCTGTAGGCCTTGGTTACTAAGCAGCCTCTTTTCCTTACTACCATCCCTCTTCTCCATCCCCTGTGGTCTAGCTGCCCTGCCATTTACCACTGCACTGCCACAGGTCTCTTGCTCCACTATCAGGCGTACTACAGATCAACAGGACGCATCAGCTACACAGGAGATGGGTCCAAAGGCAGAGAAGGCTGGCCTGCAGCCCTGGAAGAGCCCTATCTAAAGGGAAGACAGCTTCACACACTGACAATTATAAGGCAATGAGGAAGTGCTCAAGCAAAAGTGTGACAATGTGTGACATGGTGGGAGCCCAGGGCAAGGTTGGACAAATTCTCTTCCAAGGAGCAAAAAGATGACGACTTAAGATCACAGTGAGCTCTTAAATAGCAAGGAGGAATCCATAAACTCTGTAGCTCTATTTTTCTCAGTTCTCATACATGCAAATATCTGTACCTGAGCACTGATGATCTCCTTTGTTTCTACAAATGGTCTCTGTTTCCCTTTCTTGGCCCTACTGCTTCCCACAAATTGCTCAATTGCAGCCTGCTTCCCTCACTCCTTTTCCTCTGGCACTCACCAGTGAACTGACCTCAGCCCTGCTCTTTTCGTCTTCCTAGCCACCCCCACAGTATAAATTACCCTTTTACTTGGCTCCTTGGAAGCATCAGCCCCAACTCTACTGGCTCCCCTGCACAGCTTTTAGCTAAAAGTCAACCTCTCTGCTGTGGAACTCAGTATCTGCCCTTCCGAACCAACTTTTCCTCCTACTTTCCTAGTTCTCATTCTTTTCACTGTCCTGGAGGGCCCACCATGCTCTGGTGTTGTTCAAGGCACTGGAGGGACTAAAATGAGTAATATGTGCCCCTTCCCACCACAAAACAGTCACCTACACTCAAGTCGTCTGTGACATCTTTCTTTCTTCCCTCCCATGTCCCAACTCCCCTGCATATACCCATTTGCCTCAGCTGAGTGGCTGCTGTCACCAGGTCCAGCTCGTCTCTGCAATCGCTTCCCAGGGGATGTCTTCTGCCCCTGATCCTGTCTCTCCCTAGCCATCCTACATTCCTCCAGAGATATCATTGCCTTGCTGCAGTCTTCCCAGCCATCTGCCTGCTCAAAGACCTTCACCATGTCTCCAATATCTCATCTAAACATCTCAAACTCTCAATCTAGGCCCAAACTATCCTCTCAAATTTATATTTCAATGTATATTTCAGCATCTTTCTGCATGTAACTTGTGCCTGGAGTTCTGCCAACTCAGCTTTAATCATACCATCCCTTTTGCTCAATAACAACTCTTCTCTACTCTCTACTTCCTCAAATCTACCCATCTTCCAGGGCCTGACTCCAAGCAATCCACTGTGTGTACTTCTGATTCCTCTAACTGCCCAGAGCAGTGACCTCTCACTCTTTAATCCCTGGTAATCTGTGTTCTCTTTTCTGTGCTTAACACAAGTAGTCACACAGGCTGGGGATCCTCTACACCAGACTCTACTGTCTGGGAACAAGCAAATCAATGGCAGTCTCAGAACACTGCAGTGGAAGCTAACCACTGTCCCTAGTGGGCCCTGCTGTGTCACTGGATTCTCTCTGACCACAGAGTGAGCTTTGGCACCCACAAAAGAAAAGTTCTTCTGTTAGGTCAAAGAGGTTGTTGCTCAGGATGTCTTCTCTATACTGACCTGACTCTCTCTTGAGATCCCTTACCAGAATACTGGGTCTTTCTCACACTCTGCCACCTACATGCTAAAATAACTCCAGCAATCAGATTTGTCTCTTCTGACTCAACTCCCAGGAAACTCCCCTGCCACTCTGTGTGGAGGCCCAGAACACTCACGTTCGGGAATGGAAGCATTGTGAAGGTTGTTCCCTGAAAGCCGGGCCTGGAAGGCAGAACTGAAGAAACCATCACCAGGACCACTGTGGGAAGAGGACGGACAAAAAACAGTCAAGTTAATGGAGTGAAAATTGTGATTTCCCAGGAGCCCTCAGTTAATTTAAAAGTAAAATCAGAATGGCAACATGGTAAAATGGGACAGAAATGAGTGACAGAGTTGTAGAAAATGGGGTCCAAATCCCAACTCAGCTACTTACTAGCTGTGTGACTTGGGCAACGTATCTAACCTTGTTTAGCCTCTTCATTCATAAATTGGAGATTTAAAAAAACAAAAGAACTCACAAATGGTTAAATGAGATAATGTATACAAAATGCTGAACACTGTTCCTGGCACTTAGCAGGTACTCATCAAATGGGAGCTGTTGCTGCTGGTGTTATGGCTATTATTATCCCCACTCCTAACCCACTCTTCCTTACTAAGAAGGGACTCTGCTTAGAAACAGGGGCAGTTTGACTACCAAGAAATTCTCCTCTTTCTTCAGGGTGAAGTGCTAGCCTCTCAGTCCTTGGGATACTCAGATGATAGAATGCAAGGGGAAAGAAACAGGAAAAAGTTTGTGCCCCTGCCTCCATTATCCAAGCCACAGACCTAGGAAGTCACACAGCCCATCCCTGGGCTTAGGAACCAGAGGGAGACCAGAGAAAGACAGTGGAAAACTCTGGCTGTACCTTTTATTCAGCACCATGATGTGAACAGCAAAAATGGCCATGTAGAGCACCAGCGGCAGTATTATGAGACACAGGACGCGAGCCATCAGGTGTTTTCCCACAGTGACCTGCAAACAGAGGCCAGCATGGGGTAGTGGGCACATGGGGCCCTATTATTCCTTGTAACTTCTATGGTGTTGTATATGTCCTTATATGTAAGTCCTAATCATGAAAATAGTTAACAGGAGAGACTATGTGGAAACCCTAAGCCCATACATATACTCCCACTCAAGCACTGACATGTGCCAGCCCTCTGCTGCCTCTCCAGGGCCTGCACTCAGGACTGTCACAGCACCTCGAATAAGGCTCAGGTGCTGCTCACCAGTGCCCTCCATGTTCAGTCACTCTGAACTCCCTGCACTTTCCCAATGCCTCCTGGTACTGCAACAGCTCTACCATCGCACGGCCAACTGCATCCTGCCTTACTTCAGGCCTTGTGGAGTGGCCCCCTCTGTTCTGTCTTAGCACTTAGCAGCTGGATTATAATTGCCTGCTTACTCATTTCTCTCTCTTTCTCCATGGATTCTAGAGGGCAGGAATCATGTTTTAGTCATCTATACATTCCCAGCATCTCACACTTAGTGGATGGTCTCCATATATTTTCTGAATAAATGTGTTGGGGGCTTGGTTCAGAGGTGATGGAGAAGCAACATAAGCAAAGCCCCTAGTCAGCCTAAATATAAGTCCTAGGCCTCCCTTTTAACACCGGTGGGATCTAGACGTCTCAACTTCCTCATTTGTAAAATCAAGGTAGTAACTGCCACTCATGGGACTGTTATGAAGGTTAAATGTGACAATGAAGGTAAAGCATTTAGCATAGTGCCTGACACCAAATCAGTCTTTACTAACTAATAAAAGTACAATAAACCTGAAAGCCCTTGCTGGCCACCAAATCTGAAGCCCATGGGTCAGGAAAAAGAAACTGAGTTCAGAAGTCACCCATCCATTTTACCTAAAGTCTCATACATTTAGTGTCTGCCACACATCTGGCATGAACCCAGCTGAACAGATTCCCCTGGCTAGGTAGTTTGCAGAATATTTAAAAGATGGGGGCTGGGGATTTAGCTCAGTGGTGCTCCCACCTGCCTCACAAGTGCAAGGTCCCAAGTTTGATCCTCGGTACCAAAAAAAAAAAAGAATATTTAAAAGATGGTATGGAAACAAATGTCAAAAGAGAATCCCAAAGTAGTCAATCCTCTCCCTTATACCTCTCCAGCCCTTGGTGCGGCCAACTGATGCCTGGCTCTCTACATAGGGCTGCCAGGTCCAGCCCAGCTAGGACCCCAGGACACAGCCACTCCACCACCTGCCTTTCTACAAGGCAGAAGCCAAGAAAGGCCACTGGTTCCTGCTAGGCAACACTGGGAAGCAAAGACATTTCAACCAGTACTTGGATTCTTACCAGTGAAAGACTGAGGTCTCCAAACAGGTGCCAGAGGTCTGCAATGGTGTTCAGGCCCACTTGGAGGATGATAAAGAGGCCAACAAACTTGACCCCTAAAGCACAAGCAAGACTGATGCCAGTCAGGCTGAGCCAGGACCACCAGGGGGCAGAGAAAGGCCTGGAAACAAACAAGACAAGAGTTTAGTTTGGCAGCTAGACCCAAACTTGAAAGCAGGAGCAACAGTGGGACAAGGGAGAAGTTCTCCGACTCAGGAAGACTGTGCTGTGCCCTGTGCCTTAGGGGTTACTGACCTCAGGAGACAATGGTACGATTCCATGGAGGACGTGGTCTGTGAAACTCCCAAAACTGTAGGCCAGTCAGTGTGAGAGAGAGAGTAGGACACTTTTCTGGGGAGAGGGTCCATGATGTTTCTGGCTAAGTACAGGGCATAAGGTATACAGTAGGCTCATTCTTCACTAGTGACCAATCAACCAGAAGCAAAAGGAAAATCCTAAGAAGTGCACTAGCCTAAGCCCTCTCCTTTGTGTCACCCCTGGACACAAAGGTCAAAACCAGCATTTATTTATCTATTTATTTATTTATTTATTGAGTGCTTACTATGTGTCAGGCACCATTCCAAGTACTATATACATGTGAACTCTTTCAATCTTCACCACGACCCAATGAGGTAGAGCTTATTATTATCCTCTTTTTACACAAAAGGAAACTGAGGTACAAAGAGGTCAAGTACTATAGCTAGGAAGCAGTGGAGCATAGATCTAACCCTGGCATCAGCTCCAAGGTTAACTTTCTGCACCATTTTGCTATACTTAAAATAGTACACTGCAGACCAATTTTCAGATTATCTGGTTGCCTCTGCTGCCAGAACAGAAGCTCCTTAAAGCCAACACCTCTGCACCTCTGAACCTCAGCTCCTAGTGTAGTACCTGGCCCATAGTATGTATTCAAGAGACAGTAGAAGGAAATAGATGTGGTAGAAGCAGAAGATAACCAAAGGTAAGTGGGCTGGCAGTCACCAGCTCAGGTGTGTGGCTTAATAAGCTTGGCCATGGATGAAATTGGTTGATTTCTGGAAAAGCCTGGGGGTGGGGGGCAGCTCTTTTGAGCCTACTGCTTTACTTTCTCAGAGAAAGATAATCCAGAAAAGACTATTCTGGAAGCAGACAGACTCTCCAGATAAGCTTTAGAATTAACCAGGGCCTGAAACAATCCTCTGTGCTGGTATGGACCACCCATTAGCAGGTCAAGACTGGAGGCAACCACTAAGGGCAGGGAGACAAATAGCACCTAGACAGAGTCTACCCTGGTGTCCTCATCTCTAGGATGCAGAATGTGAACGATCTGTCCCAGATCTCCTAAGCAGCATTGGTGCTGAGGGACAGCTCATAAGGCATGGGTGAGAGAAGTCAATGGGACCTCTCCATAGTATCTGTAAATTCCTATCTAATTGTACCTCCATTGTAAACCTAATAATACTCTAGAAAAGACAACTGACATTTTCTCAGTCTTAGGTAAAAAGCAAAAAATGAAAACATTTAAAAAATCTATTATTATACAAAATAGACAATCTAAAAAAACAAATGCTTGCTTTAAAGTCAGCTTCTAGACAGGTCCTCTACGAACCCACCCCAGCCCTAGCAATGTGGAACTTCTAGGGCAGCCATAGTTTCTGACTCTCCCCTCCCAAAAGTGGGGCTTCTGACCTGTTAGCGCAGGAGCGGTACTTGACCATGCTCAGCATGGCAGCCATGATGAAGAACATCAGGATGGGGTCAAGGAGGATATACTGGGACAGAGTGAGGCATCCTGTGTCTGAAAAACATGAGCTCACTGGTCAAAATGCAGAGTCAAAAGAGGGAGCCCCTAAAACCAAACATCCCGGTAGTAAAAAACAGTCCCCCCACCCTTTTTTTTTGGTACCGGGGATTGAACTCAGGTCCTTGAGCTTGCGAAGCAGGTGGCGCAACCACTGAGCTAAATCCCCGGCCCAACAGTTCCCCTTTTTAATTGTATGTGAGCACCTAAAGGGCCCACTGAGTCACCACTTCTAGGCCCTCAACTCAAAAGAGGAGCATGTCATTCTCTCAGTGCAGGCCTGAGGCAAGTCTCTTCCTCATTTGTACCCTGCTTACGACATATACCTATGATCATTTTATACGATGTCTCTGTTAAGGTTATTTCCCATATAGGTACCAGACTGAGTTTTTAAATCTTAAATCTTATTTCCCTGCTTAAACCCTCCAAAGTCTTCCCATCTCACTCAGATTAACAAATTCTCATGACAGCTGCCAAAGCCTACATGGTCTTCCTACCCTGCCCAACCTCGTCTCCCAAAACCCTCTGCCTTACTCACTCCATCCCTGCCATACCAGCCTTCTTGTTCCTTGATTACACTAAGCCTTGCACTACTCATACTGTTCCTTCTGCTGAATGTTCTTCCCTCCAAACTCTGCATGGCTTAATCCCTTGTTTCCCTCAGGTCTCTGTTCAAAGGTACCTTCTCAGGGAGTTCCTCAATGCCCACCATAAAGTAGTACTGATCTCCATTACCCCACCCTTACCCAACTTTATTTCCACATTGCACGTACTGCTTAAGATGTTATACTGCAGGCTTATTAATGTACTAGCTTTTTTGTCTGCCCCTTTTGAGGATAAGTTCCATGAGAGCAGGGTCTCATTAGTGTATCCTCTAAGACCAATACAAGTGGCCTGGCACAGGGTAGGTGCTTGAGAAATAGGTGATTATAGAAAATATGAACAAATGACTAAACAAATGAATAAGTGCAGAGGAAAATTAAAGATACAAGGAAAAACTTACTACTCCTCTATAGAGAGATCCTATCTATAATCTTGCAACATATCCATCACAATAAAGCAATGTATCTGTCAAACTCAATCTCTAAAAAGTCCTCCTAAACTGGGCCAGACTTCTATAAATGTTACTTGCAATTCTTTTTTTTTTTTTGGTACTGGGGATTGAACTCGGGACCTTGAGCTTGTGAGGTAGGTGGCGGAACCACTGAGCTAAATCCCTAGCTAGCCTTCTATAAATGTTAAGCACCATGAAGCCACGAATTCACTTTCAGAAGAACAGGGCTAGCAAGAGGATGAACTTGTACAATCAATTCTCACTTGTCTATATGAGGAGCCACAGAAAATATTTAAGTTCCCATTGCTTTCTCCTGCCACTACAGCTACTTTTGCAGTATTTGCCCTGTATTGTTGTAATTAGTTTGGGGAATGCAAACTAATCTTAGTATTAACCTCAGAGAAGCAAAATTAAAATGATAAGCTTCCTTCAAACACACACGCACAATTTATTTTATTATCCCCTCCAAACTCAAATGTGGAAAACTTGGAGGTAGTATATTCCTTGGGATTACCCATGCCAAACTCTCCCCTCTAATAATACAAAGACTTCTCAGTGGCACCATGCCTGCCTCACAAGCACAAGGTCCTGATCTCTGGTACCGCAAGCAAAAAAAAAAAAAGAAAAAAAAAATACAAAGGCTTGTTACATTAAAGTATTAAGAATGGAAATAAAACAAGATTGGCAATACATTTTACCTGATCCTCATGTTAATGAAGCACTGGGGCCATGGATGGGATGCTTTAATATACTGATTTCCAGCTATCCTCACATAGTGTAGCAAAATATTTCCAAAAATATATGGGAGAAAACAACTTACCAAAGGTGAGAAGGGCGGCAGTGAGCAGTGCTGCTGGGAGGGAATTGGACAGATCCAATACAATGAGGAAGGCAAAGGGGACCAGCCAGGAACCAAGGAATGCACAGAACTATGGAAGGAACAGAGGAGCTGTTAAATAACAAGGTACAGCTAAGCATGAAGGACCTACCTGACTCGGGACAAACTAATGTCTAAGACAGAGGACCTGACAAAGGTATATCTTTGCTGACCCTAAAGTCACCTAGGGTATCTATAAATAAGAAAAGGATAGGGCCAGGGATTTAGCTCAGTGGTTCTGGCGCCTGCTTCGCAAGCGCAAGGTCCTGAGTTCGATCCCCAGTACCAAAAAAAAGAAAGAAAAGGGTGGTGCAACAGTGAAGAGTCAAATCAAACCAAGCAATATATGTTTCTATGGAGCAGCAACATATGCACTGGCCTGAAACTGGAACAATGCCCCATCACTAGCTGTAACCCTCAGACAGTCATATCTTTTATCTCAGCTCCCATCTCAGTAATGGTAATTTTTATATTGTCTCCCCTGCTTCTTTTCTTCAATCACACCAGAAATCACTCTTTAATCTACAGGAATTATTGTGATTTAAATTATCAGCCTTCCATCTCTCCACCCTACCCATCAATAGTAAACACGCAAGCCCAGGGAAAAGAGAAATTCTCACATTTAGGCTGTCATTTTTTATAAACAGAAACCAATGTACCCTAGTATGGAAAGACTGAATGGGGCTGTTGTGTAAGGCCTCAATTTCCCTAACAAGTTCACAGTGTGTCGGGCTTATACACAATTATGCATGCTATGTGGTATTCAAAAATCAATAGGAAGACAGAATCACTTAAAAACACAAACTTGATAGGGGACACTCCTTATTTAATATGGCATGATATAAACATGGAAATTATGCAATGATTAGCCCAAATAAGCACATAGCCATTTATCTAAAATGCTGGGAGCTCCTCAAGGGAAGGGTCTTGTAAATCAAACCATTCTGAGAGTTCTAGGCTGGAGGTCAGTTTTCTGAAGGTTTCATTAAGCTACAAGTTCAAGATTCCCATGTTTAGGGAGGTTATATGGCCTCCTTTAAAATAACACTGGAAAACTCTTTATGTGTGCTTGAAACCTTTGCAAGTAAAAAAGCAGGAAGCTGGAGACAGGGTGTGGGGATATCAAAACCTAAGAAAAGCTCCTCAGAGGTAGATAATATCTGAGCTGCTGTGGCTGCAGAGAAGGACAAATTGTGTGCCAGGGCAGCTGCAGGCCACTCCTGAATGCCTGGGTCGAGGCTGCTCTCCAACCTGAGCTCTAAGGCACATGTGGCCAGGGCAGCAGGTGACAGTGTGTGCTTGCTCATATGTAATCTCTGTATTTTCTGTGGCCTCTCTTTCCCTTATTCCCCACCTCAGTTCTGAATCTCTACACCAAGGAGGTAAAGTGGGTCTCACTACCCTCCTCTCTCCCTCAACATCCCACCCGCCACCACTCCAAGGCTTCTAACTATGACATTTCCGACTGAGTGTGGCCCCTGGGTTCTGTCAAATCTGTATCAAGTCAGGAAGCCTTACTCCTCTCATTCCCATGTAGCTGTGATGCTCATATTTGTCTCCTGGCTTCTGGAACAAAAAGGTGCCATCATATCCACTCAGGTAGCCTGCAAGACCTATCAGCATCTGAGGAGAAAAGAACAAACAAAAAGATGAGAGACCTTTGGGAGAAAATCCCTCTGTCCTCTGAACTTCCCTTCAGCTGTACCCAGAGGCTCTGGGTTCCTCTGTCAACTGTCCACAGAGAGAGGCCAATGTGGCATTTTCTTCTGCAGCTGCTACAGAGTAAAGAATCTCTTGTCTGTAGAGTTCTTTGCTTGAAACAAATCCTTTCTTGTGTTCTGGCTCAGCTCTTGGAAAGAGTACAGACTAAACACTTAGGGAGGAAAAGCTTCCACAATTTGAAGGGCACAGTCAGTGAGTAGTTCTTGCATTCAGTCTTCCTTCATTTGTTCTGAAATAAAACATGACAGCTCTTGGGGGAGCTCAAGGGCAAACACTGATTCCTAGGAAATTGGAAAATGAGATTCCAACTCACAAACAAAAGAGAGAAAAGTGACCAAGTAGCTACATGCCAAAAATATGGAGCACAGAAGAAAATGAGGAAGAGGAACATAGTTTTCTCTCCAGAGAGGAAGAGGGAAAAAAGTGCCAGTTACCCCATTTGCAAAATGGAACTATGACAGAACAGTTTTATTACGTTGTTCTGAAACTGCTTACATGAAAAAACACATAATCGTTCTTCTCTTTATTGTGTTTTGTTTTAAACAGACAGGAAGAGGCATGATATTTACATGTCATGATATTTACCTTTTCCTGGGCTCAGAACCAATTTCAAAACAAGCTACTTATACTGCGTATGGTAATGCACATGCGCCTATAACCCTAGCACTCTGGGCTGCTGAGGCAGGAGGACTGCAAGTTCAAGCCAAGCCTAGCAACTTAGCAATTTTAGCAAGACCCTGTCTTAAAAATTCTTTAAAAGGGGCTGGGATGTAGCTCAGGGTAAAGATCCTGAGTTCAATCCTCAGTCCCAAAACAAACAAACAAACACAGGCCACTTCTCTCTCTCTTACCTCTCTCTCGCTCTCCTACCTTCTCCTACCCTCCTACCTTCTCCCTGGTGCCTGGCCTGCGCTCGCATGCTTCCCTAGCCCCACCCATCACAGACCATTACCCTTGCCTCCCTGCACCCCCTGCCTTCATCCCAAGCACCACTTGCTCCAAGATCACTTCCCTGCCTCCTCACAGGCAAATCCTTGTCCTCTTGGTGCCAAAGATTTCAGTTTCCAGTCAGGAAGAAAAGGCTTGAATGAATGCCAGGGCTAATCCATTAGCCTTCTCAGAGGTGCTTGTTTTTAAAAGTATAAAATGAAATCTAATTGGTAGAATTTCTCCTGTAAAATGTGACAGGAACAGGTCAAACAATGTGCATGCTGGGAGGAGGCAGGTAGACTATGGATAGTCAGCTCCCCTAAGCATTTCTGCTTTATGCAATACATTCCACTCAGTTTACTAAATTGAGATAAATTCCAATAACATAAAATTCACCACTTTAAAGTGTACAAGCTGGGCATGGTGATGCATGTCTGTAATTCTAGCACTCCAGGAGACCAAGGCAGGAGGATCACTGTGAGTTCAAGGCCAGTTTGAACTACACAGCAAGACCCCCATCCCAAACAAAACAAAACAAAACAGAAAAAGTGTATAATCAGTAGTTTTAGATATCACAAGACTGTACAAGTATCACCACTACCCAATTCCAGGACATTCCATCATCCCAAGATGATACCCCATACCACTTGCAATCACTCCCTAATCTTTCCCCTCAGGCCCTGGAGACCATGAATCTACTCTGTGTGTCCATGGATTTGCCAATTCTGGATATTTCAATCACATAACCTGTAACCTTTTATGTCTGGCTTCTTACATTTAGCATAGCATTTCCAAGGTTCATCCATGCTGCAGCATGTGTCAGAACTTCATTCCTCTTTATGACTGAATCATATGACACTGTACGGATATATTACCTTTGTTCATTCATCTATCAGTTGATGGGCCTCTGTCCATTTCTGAGCCCAAAGCATCCCCAAAGCATCAAAGATTTTCCCTGAAAGTACCTGGTCTGAAATACTGGAAAATTCTATTGGGGAATCCTTAAATTCAAGAATGACATCCCAAACTGACACCTGGCTCTCTCCCTTAAGAGCCATCCTCCCAGATGAGAGCTGTTGCTTACCACACTGCTCACCTTTCCCAGAGGTGGGTGCACGTCAAAGAAAAAGGTGCGGTTGATATAGTAACTTCCCATTTTTCCAAAGTGAGTCTCATCCCAACTAAAGGAAAAACAAAACACTTTAATAAAGCATAGTTAAAATTATAGTTAAGACCAAAGGCTATGAATTTCAAGCAATTAATTACAAAGGACTTTTTTTGGAGGGGGGTTTGAGACAGTGTCTCACTATGTAGTTCAGCCTGGCCTTGAACTCACTATGAAACCCAGGTTGGCCTCAAACTCCTGGCGCTCCTCCTGCTTCAGGCTCCTGAGTGCTGGGATTACAGACAAAGTTTGGATTAAAAATACTTTTTTTTTTGTACTAGGGATCGAACTTGGGTCCTTGTGCTTGCACAGCAGGTGGTGAAACCACTGAGCTAAATCCCCAGCCCTAAAAATACTTTTGATACAAATAATTTGAGGAAGCAAAACATTAATCCAGTTATTAACTTTCACTTGGATGGATGAGAAAGGTTAGCAAGTATTTACCAAGCAGTTACCATAAATTTAAGTTAAATATATATTTATGCTGTATCTCAAGTTTCTATCTACTAATTCTGAAATAGCAGAGTTTTCCTGTAATAGGGAAAGGTTTGTAGTAAGAGTGCTCTTCCAAGACTATGACCTTCTAACTCTGAGACTGTGTTTGCAATTAGAATGAGCATTACTACATTGCTGGGCTACGAGGCAGAGAAAGCCTTTTAACCATGTCTGCCATAGGAGCCTCATTTTGCTCATCAACCTTGTGATGGATAACCTGATAAGTGAAATCTGACTAATCTTATTATGATGAGCTAACCAATATATAAAAGTTGAAGGTCTTCTTCCTAAGTTAAGAGCATGTCTAAAATGCATTCTTGGCTGCGTGGTGGCGAAGCTTCAGGAGGCTGAGGCAGGAAAATTGCCACAGTCTGAGGCCAATCTGGCTACATAGTGACTTCAAAGCCAACCTGAACTACACAGCTTGACCCTGTTTAAAAAAAAAAAAAAAAAGCAATGCATTGTTACACAAGTTATTTTGCAAGAAGTGAATCTAATATATTAGATTTCAAACACAACACAAAGCCTTGATCTTCTACATAGGCATATAAACCTTTTCACACCCTACAAGAGGGCTTTAAGAAGGCAGTCAAGTCATCCTGTAGAGCCTGGTCATTTCTGTTTGTTATTTTTTCCTTGCAGCTCAAAGAAGAGTACTTTGTACTGGCCATCCATGCCCAGGTCAGCTTCCATGAGCAGTCATTACAGAACTACCACATAAGGCAAAGAACACACTTTCCCCAAAAATGTATAAGGGTGTGTGGGTGTGTGTGTGTGTGTGTGTGTGTGTGTGTGTAACTCAATGAGCTCAGGAGATGGGCAGAAAAGTAAATCTATTTCTACACCTGCTAAGTACATTGGCTGTCATGAGGTAAGGACAGAGGCATGGTGATGTCAGAGAGAAATAAATGCACAGCAGTGTGACAAAAGATTTGTGGAAAGTAGAGATAGGTACCAGCTTCACCTCTTACTGATGTTGTGATGTGACAAAATCACTTGCTCTCTCCAGTCTTCTTCTTTTTATCTACATGACACAGACAATAATACTATTTACTATGCCCCCCTCCCAAGGAGGTATTAGGGATCAACGTGCTGGGAGCACTGCATTGTAGATTGCTATGGCCAGGCCTAACTCACCTCCTCCCTCAGATGAGGCAGAGCCCTGTGGGAGAAGAACAGGCAACAAAAGGGGGTGGCAGAGCAAGGCCTGGCTGAGAAGAGGGCTGTCTTCCTCCCTGTCCATTCTCCATAAAACCATCAAAGCATGATGTTCTGCAGACCTTCGCTACTTTCCCGGCTCCGGTTATAGACCAGCCCCTTTTATCTCCCCCTGCACTTGCCTTACTTCTACCACTATAAATAAACTCGATGCAGTTGCCTGGTGGTCTTTTTCTCCCATCAGGAGGAAGAGCTCCACCTGGCCCCAGCTTTGTTTCCCTTTGTTCCCTTTGTATCTCTGTCTTTATTTTTCCTTCATCCCCAACCATCATTTCTCACTCCATGGACCCTTCATCCACAATGGCCATGCCATCAACTCAGATAACACATATGAACAAACTCTGTAGACTCAAATACAGAATTTCAATTAAAATGAAAACACTGAAAGATCCTTGAGTTACTGGTGTGCTCAAGCCAAAAGTAAATGTCTTGCATACTGGCTCAGAGCCACTGTTACCCTGATCCCTCCCCTTCTACTATCTCAGCTTCTTCAAAGAGTATGATGATTAAAGGCAGAGCCATGTCCCCACTCTACCCAGTCCCACGGGGGAAGGATTTGCTAGGCACGGGGGTTACCAAAGGGACTAAGGACTGCAGAGAAAGCCATTAGCAGTGAATACAGGGACTTAAAGAAAAAGGGTCCCTGAGCCCAGAACCTCACTGGACACAAGGAAGAATGATGAGGAAAAAGTGGTGCCAAGCCCAGTGAAGGGCTAAAGAAGGAATAAAGCTTCTCTCCAACCCTTCCATTCATCATTCCCCTCTCTCCACTTGGGAAATGGCGTCATCTCTAGATAGTGCCTGATGTGGGCCTACTAGACTCATCAGTCCAAAAAATGCCCAGATTCAACTGACAGGGTTTGGAGCCACGTTCCCAATAGGGGGTAGGGCTCTCTAGAGCACTTCAATGTATTACTGTGGCATCCACTGCTGAATGCATAGTTTGTATTGATTCTCTAAGTGTCAAAGAGGATTATATCATTCAAGGACTGCTGTGTGTGGAGAGGTGATCCTGTCCTTCCTAATGATCCAGGAGAAATAAATCCCTGGAAGGCAAAGAGAAATCACAGCTTTAAAGGATTAATGGCTGCTGAAATAGTAACAAACTAGTCACCAAGAAACAGCGCCACCTGCTGAATACAGATTTTAAGTACACCCGTTTTTAAAAGAGCAGCTGTTAACCTACTACAGTAAGCTATTAACCTGACAGCGTGTTGAGCGTTTGCTCCACATAAAGTGCTATACTTGTACTGAACATTTGTTGAAGCTGAGTGCCTGACCCACAAAGGTTCCAAGACTCTCTGGCCTGACAGTCCTACTTTGAGGTGGGTTAACTTGTAATTTACAGCTAACAAAAGAAAGGGCTCAACAAGCCTCACTGTCCTATGGAAATGGTACATTCCTGAAGATTGCCAGCGTGGCCACTGGGGCATCTGGGTTTTACATAAAGGAGCATCTTCCCCTTTGGAGAAACTACTTTCTACTCCACTTTCTGAAGTACAGATGTTGGCTTGGTGGGTCCCTTGATTCACTGAGGTTCCTCAAAATGCTTGTGCCTGGTTCACTGATGGTCAGGCTAAGGTAAGAGTTGCTAATGTCCACTGGGCAGCAGCAGCCATTCAGCCCCAATGACAACTCTGGATGGTCAACTGCAATAAATGTTAAAGTGTTTGAGATGCCACTTGGAAGACTAAATACTGAGAGATAAAGACACCTGCTACTGGGGCCGGCGATTTAGCTCAGTGGTTTCGCTGCCTGCTGCGCAAGCGCAAGGACCTGAGTTAGATACCCGGTAGCCCCTGCCCCCCAGAAAAAAAAGACACCCGCTATGCAGCTGAAAACCATGGAAACAAAGTGGTGCCCTACTGATGAGACAGTCTGGATCAATCAGATAGGTGCCCATAGTAAAGGCAAGTACTCTGATAGGACTAAGTGAAATGAAACTGCTGATCAAGCCTGTACCACCCAGACTACTGCCAGAGACACTTGGATTTATCAATGTTTCAGGCATAGAAATGTATCCACCCTCATGGACTGGGCACAAAGTAAAGGTTTCTAGAGCAGAAGCCACCACCATATATTAGACTCCTGCCCAAAGTTAGCCTGCTTGTCTTTGTGGTAAACAACAAGAACAACAAAACTCTGCATGGGGGACTGATCCAACTGGCTCCAAGAAAACTAACTATATTATAACTTTGTTCTAAACTCTGGAGTTTTCACTGGTACCTCACTGCTGCTGATCCTCCTTCAGGTTACACTGATGTAGCTGGTCCAGTCTAGTCATCTGACTTTGGATATCCCATTGTGGCCCTTGAAACTAAACTATTAGATGTTCAGATTTTCAAACCACCTATAGTCTGACAGTGGTACACCTTTTTGTCCAACAATGGGCCAATGGACACTCCACACTCCATATCATCCACAGGCATCTGATATGATCAAACATTGAATAGTCTTCTCAGACATCAATTCAAAATGAGTTTTAACCCCACCTATGTCACCTCCTCCTGGTCTATATGCCCTAATAAAGCAGTCTGATCACCTAATGTGGTCACACTCAGGAAGATTCATCTTCTCTTAGCCACCAACTAGCTAAAGATCAGAAAAAGAAGTGCAGAATTATATATTTATTTTCAAAAACAGATGACAACCATGAATTCCCAACCATGAATTGCTTTTCTTCCCCCTTGGAGAAACCCCAGATGAGCCGGGAAGGGCAGGGAAGGATCTATAGAACTCAAATTTAAATTCTAGTTCAGTCACCTGGACTGTCTTATTGGAGAGGCATGGTCCTGGACTCTAGCATAAACATAGTAACTATTACGTTGAATACACTGCTTTTCAAGTCTCCCCACAGTTGCCCACAGGTGTCAGGGAGAAGACATAATGGGTTTCTGTCAATTTTCTAGCAATGCTCCTGGCAAAACGGTCTGGATATTAGTGGAGGTCAACCAAAGAAAAGGTGAAGATATAGGAACTACATACAGTAGGACACACTAATCATGTGGCAGTGATAGGAAAGAAGCAATATCAGCATCTGAAGAAGAAACATCTTAGATTTCAGGAGATGTAGAAGGAAACAAATGATGCTCTGTTTCTCCCTAGGTTCAGCACCAAAGCCTGGCAGAAGGCTCAACAGTCCATCTAAGTCAAGCGACAGCTGAAGCTAGCAATTTGACCAGAACCTGAGTTTGTCATCATAATAAGAAAAACAGAAAAACTTATGTGGAGATGTCCAGTCTTGAACTATTTTGATGTGCCCAATGACATCCGCACAAACTCCCAACTGTGCACAGGTCATAATGGATGATAGGCTGGCCTTAGACTAGATCCCTATTGTCTGATATAAGATTTATTGGTCTCCCCAGGACTTATTTACAGGTGGCTGAATCCAGGATCCTAGTAGGCATAGTTGAGGTAAATACCAAAGGTTGGCCTCCTGTGGCTTTGAGTCCATTTGATAGAAGCCTTAATTACATGCTGTATGAGACAAATTAAACAGATTTGGTCTCTGCCTCTATTAGTCAGGCTAATCAGAATAGCCAATGGAGTTGCACATTTACATGGAAATCGGCTAGAAGCCAAGTTATTTTGAGATCAAGGAGTGAGAAGTACCGTCAGGAGAGACAGGCCTCCATCAATGCCTCCTGCATCCATATATCCTGCTAAGTATGCTAAAAATGCAAGGCTCTGCCTGCATTTTCTCCGGGCTATTTCTCAGCAGCAAGCTACCTTGAAAGTGAGGGAATGTCTCCTCCCAGGACAAGAAGGCTGGTTTAGTGCTTTTGATAAAATAGTAGATTCACGGGCCGGGGATTTAGCTCAGTGGTTCCGCCGCCTGCCTCACAAGCACGAGGACCCGAGTTTTATCCCCAGTGCCAAAAAAACCCCAACAAAATAGTAGATTCCCCAAGCTTGTCACTGCTCTGCTTCGATGCAAGTCCCCTGGTGTGCAATCAACCATTTGAGCCCATAGTATCACCCTGCGAGAGCTGGGGCTGGGGGATGACTGACTCCAACATGCTGATACTCATCCTGCCTCCTATAATAAAGTCCTTTGTCAGGCCTGGGGATTTAGCTCAGTGGTTCCACAGCCTGCCTCGCTAATCTTCTTCCGGAAGTCATGAAACAATAATGTTTCGTTATTATTAATTTCCACATAAGGCAACCCTGACAGTGTCTTTGCTTGCTTGTTTTTCTGACATGAGTTCCATTTCTGACATCGTCTACACTTCCTTCTTAGTGACACAAAGAAAATACGGTATTGCTCTGTGGCCAGACAAATTTACCATTTTGAAATTGTATCAACTAGGGGTGATGACAAATGCCTGTAATCCCAGCACTCAGAGGAGGCTGATGCAGGAGGATCTCCACGAGTTCTAGGCCTGCCCGGGATACACAATGAGTTCCAAACCAGCCTGCAGTACAAAGGGAGGCCTTGTCTAAAAAAAAAAAAAAAAATCAAACTGTATAAAATTTTTCCTCCTTCCAGTTGGAGACCATGTTACTTAATGAAATCTGATCATGCATGCCTCAAGCCAGTTCTGTGTCGTATAATATAAAATCTTCAAGAAAATAAACCTCCTTTCACAGCCCCAGACTTGCTTGCTGGAATCTTTGTCACCATCTCTAGACAGCCACACTATCCCAGCTCTATGGGATGAAGGTACCCATAAAGGAATTTCCCCCTCTGCTGATGCCTGAAAATCTTTTAGGTGAGGCGCTCAGGCCTTGGGAAATTCTGTACCAAGAATTTCCAAATCTCTTCAGAAAGTTCAAAGCACCTTTAGAGGAGTTAACAATTTGGCAGCAAGATGAGTCACTCCAGCATAATTTGGAAATCGTTGAGGACTGCTTCTCTAAATCCTGAGCCCCACGGTCCCTCACCAGAGCAGAACCTTTCCTCTCAGCGTCTGCACCTCGCGGGAAGCCAAGCAGAAACCTCAGTTTCCCCTCCACCGCGAACCTGCCCCTCCTCCTGTGAATCCCTCTGTGCCTGTAGGCCAATCACAGGCTAGCGTCCCTCCCTCCCGGTTGCCAGGGTGCCCGCCAGTCCCTCCCATCACTCACCAGATGTGCCGCGGCTGGTCCAGACGGTGGAAGCGAGTGGCGAAGGACAGCAGCGTTACCAAGGCCAGCATTGCCCGCCGGCCCGCCACCTCGAAGCGCCACGAGCCCGGAGCCGGCCGCTTCGGGCTTCGCGCTGCGGCCTGGATGGCCACGTCCCGGCCCGCAGCCCGGGGCCCACAGCGGCTCCTCCGGAGACGCAGCTCGGACCCTGCCAGACCTCTGCCCACGGCCGGCGGCATCCTCCCCCTCCTCAGAATGACCCTCCGGTGCGGAGAAGCGCTAGCTCTCGTCAGGCGCCCAGCCAAGCAGTCCCAAGAGGGCGGATCGGGGTTCCCTGGGAAATGTAGTTCCCTCCGCGGGCAGCGGAGTGCAGGGCCCCGGCCTCTAGGCGGGGCGGGGAGCGAGGTCGCCGTCCGGGCCGCTAGGAGGCGGCCAGAGGCGCAGAGCATGGCGGGAGGGCGGGAGGACGCGAGGACGAGCGGAGCCGAGGACCGGCTCAGGGAACTGCATCTCCCGGCGGCACCGCGCGCGCGCGCGGGGCGGGGATGCGGGGCGGGGATGCGGGGCGGGGCCGGGCCATCCCGAAACCGTAAGACAGTCCATAGCGGACCACCCCTTGCTGCCCGGAGATCAGACTGCGGTCTGATTCCTGGGAGTTTCACTGGGCCTTGATCGCCGGCGAGTGCCGCTGGGACGAACTTCCCTGGCTGAACAAGGGATCGCCAGAAGTGCGAGATGCAAGGCGGGAAGGTCTGTGCCGCGAACCCCGGAGAAAGGTGGAGCAAGGCAGGGGTGGGGCCCAGGGTCCCCCTCTCCATTTCGCCAATGGCTCCCACAACGACTCCCGGCGTGCCGTGCGTGCACCGCGCCTGGCTAGCTCTGCGCCTGCGCGCTGCATGCTGACGGGGGGGGGGCGGTGGGACATGCCACACCCTCCTTGATCAGCGAGGGAGTGGGTTCGAGGTGGCGCGCTCTGTGGACCATGCTTGGCCCAGTGAGCTCGAGCTTCTGTCTCCGCGCTTCCTACCCCCAGTTCACTATATCTTCTAGAAATTGTAAATGTCCTTTGCCTCGTGGTCCTGCACAGCTCTGCGTCCTCGTTTTCCCACCAGTCGGTCCTAACAGTTAACGGATGGCCTTCCAGGGATGTTTGCATTTTAAGAGCGCACCAGGTGGAGCGAAGGCTGTGGCATTTTTAAGTCGTCAGAGTCACCTGGGGAGCTTCCCAAGTGTAACACGCACTTCCCCCGGTCAGTCCTAGAGCCACCTTATTAACCAATGGCGAAAAGGGCTGAGAATCTTTCACAAGCAGCAAAACTCAAGAGCGTTAAAGATTGAGAGCCACTGCTAAGGTCCTAAGGAAGGTGGCACATCAGGTGGGACGTTATATCACCTTGACAGTGTTCAGCCTTCTCACTTCCAAGTGGGATTTTAGAAGTTTTTTCTGTAAAATGTTAAGAGACAATATAAAAGCAGGTGGTAAAGCGCTTGCTTAGTACACATCAAGCTCTGGGTTCGATCCCCAGCACCGCAAAATAAATTAATAAATAATAAAATTTACTGGTCTCAGCACACGCCTTCAACACTCTGGGAGGATAAGAGAGTTGCAACTTTGAACCTAATCTGGGTAATTTAGCGATTTAGCGACCTTCTCACAAAATTAAAAAAACGGGGATGTAGCTCAGTGTGAAGACCTTGGGTTCAATACCCAGTACTTAAAAGCCGGAGTAATCAGACAGGTACTGGAATTCCAGGTGCACTGATGTAATGGACACTACTTGGATTTAAAATTTAACTTTACAAGTGCAAAAAAGAATGGAATGGTTTACAATAGTGCCCTCTTACCTGTGGTTTCTCTTTCCGTGGCTCGTTACTTGTAGTCAGCCGTGGTCAAAAAATATTAAATGGAAAATTCCAAAACTAAAAAACCCCGGCCGGAGATTTAGCTCAGTGATACCGCACCTGCCTTGCAAGCACAAGGTCATGAGTTCGATCCCCGGTACCAAAAAAAGGAAAAAACCAACCAAACAAAAAACTCTACCAAGCTAGTCTTCTTGGCAGGCAAGACCCTGGAAACACAGTCTCTCCCAGAGTGAGCCCCAGTCCCAAGTGCAAAAGTCTACCTTGTCCTGAAAGCACCTCTTGTGGGATATGTGAAGATGGTCCTGGGGCACAGACAGAGCAAGTGACCTTTAAAAAGGAGATTTGGGTGACCACAATTGGATTTTATACTTGGAGACGCATGCCTGTCCTTAGTAGTGTAGGGCTGGGGAAAGCAGGTTCAGAGAGCAGTTTGGTGTCCCAGGGTGTCCGAAGGGAGAGGGAACTTTGGTGAAGTGTCTGTAGTCAGAGAAGTGGTCGTTGTGTGATCCGAGAATTTCCATTAAGTTCTCTCTTATTCATATAAATATATGTCTCTGGGAACATTTATGAGTGCCAATCACCAGTGACTCTTGGGTCCCCCTTTGAAATGCTGATTACCCAAGAACCAGCAGAGAAACAACTTTATATATGAGAGATCACACTCAGCCACCTCCTGGGAGAAAGTTAACAAGAGAAATGTGGGCAAGGCAGACCAGAGAGCCCGTACCATGACCAATGAAGGTAGGGGATCATTAATCTGTTCTGATCAATTGTTGCTACTTAGGAAACTGAATCCACTGCCTCCAGAGTTTTTAAAGAAAAAAATGACAACAAATATGTAAACGAAATGGCTTGATTTTTAAATGTTGACAATTGAAACATTTTAAAATATGGAGGCTCCCTGACTTACAATAGGATTGCATACCAGTAAACCCATAATAAATTGGAACAACTCTACCTCAAAGTACATTTAATGTTCTCCTTGATCACAGAGCTGCAGTTTGCTGCCACTGCCCAAAGTTTTGAGGGAAAATTATACTATATATATATATATATATATATATATATATCTCAATCACTGATATTGGAGAAATATTAGCCCCCAACCTGTTAGATGTCAAATGTGCCAGGTCTATGGTCCCACAGCATGGAGGAATGAAGTCGTGAACCACACAAAGGGAGTTAGGAGAGTTTTAAACTTTTTCAGGTCTCACTGTGCAGTTCAGGCCGGCCTCCGACTCACTGTGATCCTCCTGCCTCAGCCTCTCAGGATTATAGGCATGCTCCACGACACCTGGTGAAGTTAGGAGAGTTTTATTGGCAATAAGCTCCAGAGAGCTCCTGGATTTCTGGGAAGGGTCCTGAATGGGGTGGCCATTGAGGCCCTTTGTTGGGGGTGATTTATACAGCAAAAATCACGATGTGGGTACTCTGAAAAATGGAGGAGGAATGAGACCACCCAAAAATGCTGGCTGAAGGCAATATGAGGCACAGACTATTCACCTGGGTGCAGGTCAACTGAGGGTGACAAGGCCATCAGTGGTAAACAAAGAAAAGGCAGGGGATTGGGAAGGGGTCTGTCACATACGTACAGGGGTCAGAGCAAATATTTGTGATCAGGGTCTGTGCAGCGGTCTAGGCAGATGTATGGATGTTAGCCAGTAACTTGCTGCTGCGGAGATGTTGTGCTGAATATTGTAGTCTTATCACTTTTCTGTAACATCCCATTCTGTGTTCTATCTGCTCAAAGACGGCACAGCCGGCATCTGGTCTTTAGCCACCTAAAGGAGCGGCATGTTTTTGCTGAGGGCTGCAGTGTTTTTATATCTGCTAAAATTGTAGCTTGCAATTAAACAACATATTCATTAAACAGGTCATGGCCAGATCAAGCCTGACAGGTACAATATGGGTCCAACTACAATCAACCTGTAGGATTACAAGTATTACCGCTTAGTTAATGTTGACCCAATAAGGAAAGGAATCATGTGTCAAGGATATATGGAAAGGACAAAGGCATTTTGGGGAATGGAGGGTCCATATCCTCTGGTCACCCACCTGTGGAGAGCGGTGTTAGCCATAGAGGCTCCTGACTCTATCTCTGCATCTTTCTTTTTCTTCATCCTCACTCCCCCATTCAGGTGCTGTTCGACAAGTGACGGCTGGCTCCGTCACGGGTGGCGCCTGAACAGGGACCTGAATACGGGGGACCATAGTGAAGGACACCGCGGATCGTGAGCTCGGATAAGTAAATTAAGGGCGGTGAATACACTCGGGAGTAACAAGATGGGTATTGGTAATAGCAGAATGCTTTTTGAACATATGCTTAAAAATATGCTTCACGCTCATGGAGCAAAGGTAGGGCATCAACCATTATGTAATTTTTTAGAATTTGTAGAGAAAGTTTGTCCTTGGTTCTCTGAAGAAGGCACAGTAGATTTAGAAGTATGGAATAAGGTAGGAAAGCGACTTCAGGACTATTACTATGGTCATGGACCCACTAAAATCCCTGTAGATGCTTTTAGTTTATGGGCTTTAATTAGAGATAGTTTGGATCCTCGGTATGAGGGAGAGAGGGTTGAAGGACCCTCCTCAAATCCTTCCTCGGAGGAGCCTGACAAGGCTGGTGTTCCCGAGGTTGTCCCTCCGCCTCCTATAGAAAGTGAAACTAAGCCAGCTGCTCCGCCAGTATATGCTGAGGCAGAGCCTGCACTAAGGAAGGGGTTTTTTTCCGGATGAGGGACCCCTAAACCCGGGAGATGCTGATGATTTGGAAGAAGAGGCTGCTAGGTATAACAATGAGGACTGCCTCCCCCCCGCCCCCAATCACAGCCGTGGCCAGGAAAACCGAAAAATCCAGACAGCCAGCGAATGAGGACGTGACCAAAATGATTACTAGATTGGAAAAGAGATTGGAGTCTCTTTGTCAGCAGTGGCAGACAGGCTTAACGGTGGAAGAGGAAGACCAGAAGACTCAGGGCGAGGGAGGAATAGTTCCTAGTATAATTGCTGGTCTTGATCCCCCGCCAGTTGCAGGTCCAAGATTAATGAAAAAAACTGACCCTCTTATAGCCATGATTAAACATCCCCCAGGACCCAGGCCTTTGTCTGTCAACTCTCAGTCTCTGTCGCCATTACAAGCTACCCTGCAACATGTGGTTGACAGAGGGGAAGATACCCAGGGCTTTCATTTAGCTTGTCCAGTATTTGAGGAAGCTGACGCTCAAGGGAATATGGTCAGAATCCATCGGCCGATATCTTTTAAGCAACTCAAAGAGTTAAAAATGGCATGTGCGCAATATGGCCCTACCGCACCTTTTACTCAGGCTATGTTAGAATCGTTGAGCA